CCCAGGGCCCATGGCTCAAATCCATTCTGCCCTCCTACAGCATTGGACCTGTGTTGGGAGGGTTAGCCTCAAAGATCTGTCAAATACTTTCATGGTCTTTTCCCACTGCCTCGATAAGAAGCACCTGGCTGTCTTTATTCGTATTAATCCCTTCAACAAATGGTCACTGGCCACACCCTTAGTATTCTCTCCTGAAGAGTCTTTTTCACTCTTTATCTGGCCAAGATGCAAATTTTCCAAATCTTTTCACTTTGCTTCCCTTTTAATTAGTTAATACCTTTGCTCTCATATCTTACTGTATATAGTCAAAAGAAGCCACACAGAAGTCGAAATGGCTCACTGCTTAATATTTCTTCCACCATATACACCTAGTTCATCACTCTTAAGTTCTGCATTCCATAAAGTCTTAGGATACGGGCATAATTCAGCCAAGGTCTTTGCTACCTTCTAACAAGAATGGTCTTTACTCTAGTTTCCAATACCTTGCTCCCCATTTTTGACTGGAACTTTCCAGAATGGCTGTTACTGACCATATTTTTATCAACATTCTGGTGATAATCTCTAAGTAACTTTTAGGAAGATTTAGGATTTCCCTAATTCTGAGGTCTTTTTCTAAGCCTTCATCAGAATTGTCCTTAATGCTCTGTTCATGGCAATATGTACATTTTCTTGCCCGCATCTCCAAATTCTTGCTGCCTCTACTCATTACCCAATTCCAAAGCTGCTTGGACATTTTCAAGTATTTGTAACAGTAATAACTCTAATTCTTGTTACCATCTGTCTCAATCTGTTCTCTTCCATAACAGAATACCACAGAAATTATAAAGGAAATAAATTTGGGGCCAGGCATGGTGACTCAGGTTTATAATCCCAGAGATTTGGAAGGCCGAGATTGGAGGATCATTTGAAGCCAAGAGTTTGAGACTAGCCTGGGAAACAAAATGAGACTTCACCTATGCCAATAAAATAAAATAAAACTGTGCTCAATTATCTGAGCACAGTTATACGCACGTATAGTCCCAGCTACTTGGGAGACTGAGGCTGAAGATTGCTTGAAGCCAGAAGCTGGAGGCTATAGAGCGCTATGATCATACCACTGCCTTCCAGCCTGGAGACAGAGCAAGATCTAATCTCTAGTCTTGAAAGAAAGGAAAACATTATTTGGCTCATGGTTCTGGTGTCCGGGAAGTTCAAGAGCCTGCCACTGACATGTGGCAAGGTTTATTTCATGGCAGAAGGAAAGAAGGCAGAAGAAAGCTCGAGAGATGCATAGAGGCAATGGGGTTGGGCTTGCTTTCATAACAACCCACTTTCTAGATAACGAACCTCTCCTGTGATATTGACACCAGTCCATTCACGAGGGTTCTGCCTTCATGCCCAATCACCTCTTACCAGCCTTTGCCTCCCAACACTGTTGCTTTGGAATTAAGTTTCCTACACATACACTTTTAAGGGACACATCCAATCTGTAGCATAATTTACTCAATTTAGTCACAACAATCTTCAGTTTTCTTCTAGTTAAATAATTTTACGATTCTTTTTTGGTACTACACGCGAGTGTATGGTACCTTTTTTAAAAATTAAGACATTAAGAAAAATTTAATGTTCAGACTTTTTCAGGTTTCAAGGGAAATCTTTTCATGGTGCTGCTGCTATTGTAGAATCAATGCTGAAGACAGATGTTTTAAGAGCAAGAGTTTGACACCCTTACTCTGCATTGTATTTTAACAAACTTTTTAAAAAATCACATCAAATAAATCTTTATTCTTTTCTGCTCTGGAAATTTGGTTTTGTATTCAATTATTACAAAATCCCTCTGGTTCTCTGGTAACTGAAGACAAATAAGATTCAGCTTATTATTATTTTCTTTTTCTATCAATCAGGCTTTTAGTCTACCATGGTGCTTGGAATCAATCATCGATAACCAAGACACAATTAAAAGAGCTTGAGAGTGTGTGTAAATACTAATGGTATGGTAAAACAATTAATTAATATACAGTCATAATTCAAGTCTTCCCTAAAATGAGAAAACAAGGCCCACTCAAGTACATAAGTTTAAATGCAATAACTAGAGCTGGCTTTAGACATATCAATGAAAAAAATTCCTCCAAAAGCAAATTTGAAAGGCACAATGTATTTTGAATAATTTCTTGTATGTCAAGGCAGTGCAATATTTTCTAGAATAAGTAAATCAGGTGTTTGGTAGTACTTTAATATCAATTTTTTGATTTTCTTGTTTATTTTTTAAAGACTAGATTTAAACTCTTGATATAAAGCAGACTTTTAATTTCCCGTTTTTCAAAGATAATACCAAAAGTTCACTTCCTAGCTTTTAAAGTTTTAAGAAATGACTCATCGTATTACCACTGTCTTATAGGCTTCAAAATCAAATTTCCGGTCAATATTGTGCATTTTGATTTGGCAAACATGTATCCTTTTTATGTGTTGTAATGGAACTTGTTATTAGGAACTTTTTATTGCTAGTTCCCATGTCTTAGTTAGTAGATCTTCAGAACACTCCATTAAATAGATAAAAAGAACATTGCATGCTTTAATGAAATATACTGAGTGCATCAATTGTAACAAAAATATCTGGCCAAGATTCATAAAATATCTGGAAAGTTTCTTATATTGATTTCAGATTTATCGTTAAAATGTTAGGCTGGGCACAGTGGCTCATGCCTGTAATCCCAGCACTTTGGGAGGCTGAGGCAGGCAGATCATGAGGTCAGGAGTTCAAGACCAGCCTGGCCAACATGGTGAAACCCCGTCTCTACTAAAAATACAAAAAAATTAGCTGATCATGGTGTCACATGCCTGTCATCCTAGCTACTCAGGAGGCTGAGGCAGAACTGGTTGAACTAGGACCCAGGAGGCTGAGGTTGCAGTAAGCTGAGATTGCAGCACTGCATTCCAGCCTGGGCTACAAAGCGAGACTGTGTCTCAAAAAAAAAAAAAAAAAAAAAAAAATATATATATATATATATATATATATATATATATATATATGTATATGTATATATACTTTCACCATTTTCTATTTAGTAAAGATGCCTACATTCAGAGAGGGGGATTCTCAAGGCTGCAGCCTTGCTCCTCAGGAAGATAGCATGCAACCAAATATTTGAGAGAGATGCCAAAGCAAGGGTCATCCCTAAATAAGGATTGTTTCAGATTAAAAGCAAAAAACACGTTTTCCTCTCTAGTGATCAAAAGCTGTGGGAATTTTTGCGCCCAAAGAAACACGGCAGAGCATTTGACTGAGAGCCCTGTATGGCTTGAAGGGGCTCGAGCCTGTTTGAAAAGGAGCTGAATGCTCCAGGAAAATGCTAGGGCCCCACCTTCCGGACAGTGGTCTGGTTCCAGCTGGGTCCAGTGTATCTGGTCTGGCTTGGTCTCAGCCAGGCTCAAACGACCCCTGGAAAACCTACTTAGTCCAGCTTTTTGTGAGGCACAACAAAGAGCCAAGTAAATTGTAGGCTCACCATAGACTAGTTTGAACATCTCAGATCAGATTCAGAAGTGACTTTCATACAAGACGCACTTACCTACTATGTGTTTCAAGGCAATGGAACTCCAAATTCCCCCAAAAGAGAGTTTTTGTTTTTGTTGATGTATTTTCCCTTAGAGAAGTTAGAGATCTATGGTAAGTCAAAGGTATCAGAACTCACAGAGGGGCTAATTGTTCCTCTCCTGCTGTGAAAGCTAAACTTATATTTCTTAGAGACAGGATTATGTAATCATTTACTGTGTTCCGTAAAGTCTCCGAATACTGCTATTAGATGATTTTCTTTTTCTATAATGACTTTTGTTCTTGCTTTTTAAACCTTTTTCCAAACTTGAATCAATATCTACATAGGTGTCGGGTGTAGTACCTCAAGCCTGTAATCCCAGCATTTCAGAAGGCCGACGCGGAAGAATCCCTTGAGCCCAGGAGTTCAAGATCAGCCTGGGAGACATAGCTAGACCCTGTCTAAGGGAAGAAAAAAAAAAAAAAAAAAAAAAAGACTTAGGAACTGTCTATGTTCCAAGGGTTTCCTGCAGAAACAGGAATCGTTTCCATGGTGGGTGTGTGTGTGTAGTCTGTACTTTTGTCAGACTTTTGTGTGTGCTTTTAATAGTTTACGAGAACATCATCTAAGAACATCAAATTGTTTCCAAGACCTTAGAGTACAAAATCACCATGAATATCAAGAGAAATAAGTATAGATGGCCCCTGGCTCATCTTGAAGGATGAAGCAGGCTTTTAAGAGTCCTGGGCACACTGCACAGCCTAACTAGAAACACTAAAACAAAATTTGTAACTTTATTTCATTGTTGTGACACCAGATTCTATTGTTTGGGTGCCCCTCCTGTCTCCCACAAATCCACTTCCGTATGTCTGAAAATCCGTAATGGATCCGATTATCAAGCAAGGGAGGTCTCAGGAATACCATATATATACCTCGAGAAATGGAAGAACTTCCCAGAGGTTATGTTACCAGAAAACATCAAGTTTCTAGTGATTTAAACATTAAATTGTTTGCAAGGTATTTCTCCATACGTTAATCAACATACTTTGGGATCCCTTATTAATTGAAACCTCTGCAACGAACATGAAAAAAAGCAAACATGCCTAACTCGAATGTGAGAAGCACGGAAATTTCCTAGACCGCAGGGCTAGTTCTTATTAGTCGGCAATAAGCTGGCTTTGAGTCAGAAACTTCATAAAGTTGTCCTGGAGGATGCCCCAGCTGTGAGATGGTCCATTTCGTTTTACAGCTGAAGATAAGTAAGCGAGGCTCCCCTATGTAATGGTTAAGTGGGGCAAGGTTCGAACACCCAAAGGCGGGAACGCACGCCGCTGTGCCGGGGCCGGAGGTGCTGACGGCCCGCGCAGCTCGCGAGCCTCCGGGGTCAGCCCTGCTCCGGGCTTGGCGCCCGGGCGCGGGTCCGAGCCGCCAACTTCGGGCCAATCAGCGAGCGGCGTCCCGGCGCCCGAGGCGCCCAGGCCCGCGCCCCCAGCGCCCCCGCCACAGAAATGATAGCTACGGATCCGGGCCGAGCCCGACCCGGGACGAGGAGGGGCTGAGCCGCGGGGGATCCTGGAATCGGCAGGGAGGTGGGGATTCTGGGAGGAAAACTCCATTTCCTCCTTCCCTGCCGGCTTCTCCCCTCCACCCTGGCACCCCAAATTTCGATGTGTCGCCTGCCGGGCGCAGAGCGCCGGTGTTGAGCCAGGCGGCGGCCGCCGCGGCTAGGAAAATGCTGGGCATGTACGTGCCGGACAGGTTCTCCCTGAAGTCTTCCCGGGTTCAGGACGGGATGGGGCTCTACACCGCCCGCAGAGTGAGAAAGGTGGGTGACCCCGCGGCGGCCTGCGCGCCCCAGCACCTCGCGCGCCCTGCGCCTTCTGCAGTCGCCGCGCCGCAGGGCCCGGGGCGCGGCGGGCCTCACCCCAGTGGCCCCTCGCCGGGGCCGAACCCGGCTTCCGGGGGAAGGCCGGGGACCCCGGGACGCGGCGGGGCGGCCTTTGCCCGCCGCGCCACCCGAGCAGGCAGCGCCACGTAGGTGGCGGCAGCGCGCGCTCCGCTGCCGGCCGGTCCAGGGGCGGAACTGCTACCGACCTCCTTGCTGCAAGATGTCTTTCCTCTCACCCGCAGGAAGTGAGCGCGGCGGGAGCCTCCCCTCTTCCTTGGTTAAGGGTGTGAGCTGCGTCTTTGCGTTGGCGAAGGCATGCGTGGGCGGGTGTCTACCCCCGCGCGCACGCAGCGCCAGCGCCGCCGCCGCCGCCGCCTCTTTTCCTTTAGGGTGAATTAATGTGGCTCGTAACTCCTAACTTTCCATGCGGGGATGGGAGGAGCAGCCCAGAGCGCCGCTCCATACAGGCTGTAAAAATCTCATTCACACACCCAGGATTTCCTTCCCTCCTTCTGAAATGTGTTATATGTGCCTTCAGGGAGGTACAGATGATCTTTGAATCTCTGTACCTTTTTTCTCTGCTTCTTTTTTTTTTTTTTGGATTTGTCTCCAACATCGGTTCGATCTCTCCATCCAGAAAGTTGCTGTGATGAGAGGGAGCACATTGCTCTGTTCATACAGGAAGGGCCTGGAAGTGTTGGATGTTGAAAGCAAAGGCCTAGGAAGAGAGGCCACAGCAACAGTCCAGCTCTTTGGATTTGGTTTTACAGTGTAACTTGTTAGAGTCGTCCTAGACTTCCTCGTCCCCCTTTCTTAGTGGATGCTTTATAAAATGGAGGTTTGGGCAAGAACAGGCTTGTTCAGGTATGTTAACAAGAGGTTCAGAGGATGCACTCAGAGACACTAGGTTGCCTTTCATCTGCATATAATCCCCTCCCCTTAGCCTCCGACCTAAAGAGCTGGTGAAGAGTAGTAGAAAGTGCTACTTATCTCCAAAAGGGGCTTGACAACATGATCTCCAGTCATCCTTCAGGGCAAAATTGGAAAAAATCAACCACTTATTTATTTTTTCAAATGGAAGTTGGGAAGAATGTTCAAATATTAAAAACAGTAATAAATACTTTATCTGAATTAGAGCGATATTGAATAGTCACCAAATGGCCAAATCTTAAATCAACATTCTTTGAAAGCCAAATACAAGTATCACCAAATGACTTCTGTATAGAGTTAAAATTCTGCTTTTAATTCATTCTTTTAAAATGTGAAAAATTCTCAAACAGGCCTTCCTTAAAGGTTTCTGGCTTAAATGTAATTACTTAAAAAATTAAACACAGTTAAAAATCATTTTATTTAATGTCATGAATAGTACTATATCAAAACAACCCTACAAAGATTAGAATTATTACATAATCCTTGTTGTTTGCCTCATATTACCACATAGGTTTTTAGAAACAGCTGGCCAACCTACTTTCTTTTAACATTTTTATTAATTTCAGCTTATTTTTTCATATATTTGATTATTTACAAGTATTTTATTTTGGGGCATGCAATGAACAGCTTCCATCCAAAATCATCATATGTTATTGTTTCACTTTACTATTGCAGTGATAAATAGATACTCACCTTTTCCTGGCCAGTTTAACTTTAATATGTAAAACACATAGAGATGTTCATCTAGATCGCATTTAGAATGCTTGCCTCTCTTTCAAAGTGAATATGCAGATGTTTGCAATAAATCCAAACTATTATTGACATTTAGTTATGATCCCAAGATAATTCAGTCACAAGGTTGTGGACAGGTTTGTTGATGTCAGAAATAACCTTAAAGCAAGCTTCAGTTCCTTTTCCTTCCAAAATCTGAGGACAAAGGCAAAGCTAAAGCCAAATAGCAGACTTTAGCTGAATTGTGAGGCCTCAGCTGAGTATCAGTGCATCCCATACCTGTTTGTGGAAGGCAAACAGTCCCCCAATTCTTAGGTATTTTCTAAGTTACCTTGTACTAGGCCTAACTCTGGCCGTCAATCAAGGGATCTGAGAAGAGAGATGTATCAGCAGCTACATTAAAGACCTTACGTGAAAGATTTCATGCTCTTTATTCTAAACAAATTTTGGAAGATACCACTTTTGATGCATGTGTTGGAAATTACAGATATTTTGCCACACTTTTATAGCACATATACTTGTGTAACACTACTGTTTTAAAACGTGATTGCGATTCAAACCATATGTTGATTTCAAATTCAGATAATCTAATCCAGACTGAGGTAGGGGAATTACTCCCCACCCCCATTACATTCACCAGGTTGAGATGGGATTTTCTTGCTGGTTGGACCCCTTAATCCTTCTGTAGTCCTAGCCCTTGTTGTGCAGTGCTTCCTAGAGTGGTGGGGTCTTTGCAGCAGACTCACCTAATTCTCTGGCTTTACCTTACTTAGTCCTACTAGATTTTTCCTTGGCAATTATCTTTTTTTGCTGGTCTGTTACCTGTTAATTTTTTTTCCAGTATAAAAATCTGTACAGTAGCAACTCAAGAAAAGGAAAAGAATCAGCAAGCTTTTGAGTAGAAAAGGGGGACCTGAGTTCATTCACACTTTTACACATTGTGATTTCCTAATAATCAGAAAAAGAAATAATAAAATTGACACTTTTTGCATGATACGTGCCAGACCTTGTCTAAGTGCTTGCTGTGTTTTCTCAGGAGCCCAGCTGAATGCTTCAGTCAAAATACAGCATTTTAGGTTGCAAAGTATTATGCAGATTAAAGTTAATATTAGTTGCTCAAAGCTCATAAATTAAGTATACATCCAATAAAAATTTAAACTTAAGCAAACACCTTACTACATTGCAGTTTTTGTTTCATGACTATTTTTTTCCTAGCTTGCTTGTATGATTAACCACCAGTGGGTGGTGTTTTTGACGTTATGTCTGAAGCTGCAAAGTGGAAAGGTTTGCAGATTAAAATCACGTACTCAAGCTCTCAGATTATGTGATTTTTAAGGAAAAAATTAAGGTGGAAATACACTACTCTCAGCTTTCCTTCCTTTTAGATGTTTCGGGTGTAGGTTTTCCTTCTCTGACTTTCAGTCATTTAATCATTCATGTGTGGCAGGTACTGTACTAGGCCCTGGGGATACACAGGTGAGCGCAACAGACAAGGTCTTTTACTGTAAGGAGCTTGCTTTCTTGTGTGGGGAGATAGGCAGTAAACAAGTAGAAATGGATGATGATGAAAATGATTGAGGTTTGTATTAAAATAAATGCAGGAAATAAACAAGATGAGGTATTAGAGAGTAAATGAGGGGTGGGTCTACTTTAGGTGGGCCAACAGGGAAGACTTCTCGGAGGAAATTACATGTGAGCAGAGAGCTGAAGAAGCTCAGCCAGCCAGGAGAGTATCTGGGAAGAGAATTGCAGAGAGCCAACCTGTTCAGTATAAAGCTCTTCCTCCTTCAAAGTGCCTGTCTCTGGGCTTTGGCCTGTGGGATGACCACTTGGCAGGCTCTAATCTTTTAGGAGAAATAAAGTCTCATCTCCACTTCTCCTTTTCTAAAATTATATCTTGTAATTTTTTTTCCTAAGTTAAAAAACGTAATCTAATTGGCACATCCTCATTTAAAGGTGAGAACACTGAAGCCCAGAGAGTTGCAGGGAGTCTTGTAGCTCACAGTTGCCTCTCAGATACCTATGCCTTCCACAATTCTAACTCCCTCCTTTCAAAACCGAATCACATACCTTGACTGTCACTGAAGGATTTGTGCTAAAGTCATTTGGTCGGGTAAAATCTTAAGTAAAAAAAAAAAAAACTACAAGTGTGGTGGCTCATGCCTGTAATCCCAGCACTTTGGAAGGCCAAGGTAGGCAGACCACCAGGTCAGGAGTTTGAGACCAGCATGGCCAACATGGTGAAACCCTTTCTCTACTAAAAATACAAAAATTAGCCAGGCATGGTTGTGTGCCCCTGTAATCCCAGCTACTCAGGAGGCTGAGGCAGGAGAATCTCTTGAACCCGGGAGGCAGAGGTTTCAGTGAGCCGAGATTGTGCCATCGCACTCCAGCCTGGATGACAGAGTGAAACTCCATCCAAAAAAAAAAAAAATCCCTTAAGTAAAGGCTTAAAGGTGAGTTTGTAAAAATAAAATTAGATTTTAAGCAAAAGTCAAATTGTACAAAGTTTGAGCAAATATATATCAAAAAAATTTTAAAAAAAGAAACAGAAAAGTAAGACCCATAGAGGAAAAATCACCATGCATAAATGTTAATAAAGGAAGACCAGATTTTGTGGGATAAGGTGCTATGTTGATCAGTGTAGAAGGTGACTTGTCTGAAGAAACATGGATTTGTAGCCTAGGGCTAAAAATCTGCCAGTGAATATTTGCTTACATTTCCTGGTGGCTGATGATAACTAATCTGGAAACATAATCAGGGGAAAAGTAATCATGAAGCCTGCCATATATACTATCTCTTCCCTCTGTTCACACATTCACACTTCTCCACAGTGACTCAAGGCAGCTGTTTGTATTTCCTGGTGTTGTTAAAAATTTTCTAAATTATGTAACTACTCTAATATTTTCTTCAAAACTATATTTTGTTTTTTGTGTGTGATAATAGCAGCTACAAGTAATTAATTAATTCAACAAGTGTTTATTAAGCTATGACAGTTTTTAGGCACTGTTCTAGTTACTAGTGGCAGAAGAGTGAGTGACAGAGACAAGTCACTAGATGCTTTTACACAGTTAAGTCTTGTAATAAGCCTGCAAGAGGGCTGTTAGTATCCCTGTTTTATAGATGAGGGAGCTGATGTTGAGGACGGTTATATCAGTCATAAGTGGGTTAATGAAAATTTGAACTCAGGTCATGCCATATACTCTTTTCCTTAAAAAAAAGTTTTTTTCTCCATACTCATAAAATGCTGTATTCACAAATACACAAACACATGC